CAAACAAAAAACAAAGACTCATACACACGTTAGCTGGTTAATGGTGCATATTTCCGTCATGTCTGCTAGGTATGCCTTTATAGCTTAGCTAGTGACATGAATTCATCAAGGTAAGATTTTCTCCTACCACTGATCACCACTGTGTAGACGATAATATCCCTAATTTGGATTCTTAGTTTTGTACTTTGTGTTGAGTTTGTGATGCTAAAAGTATTTACAAATTATATACTGAAATCACACTGTACCAAAGCTGTAATGGAAAAGAAAAGAAAGGATGAATGGAAGGAATAATTTATATACACCATAGAGTTTTCTTTTTTTAATGGATATATAATGTATTGTAGTGTTTAATGAAAATAAAGCTATTTGACCTTACGGAGGAAGGTCATGTTTTTACCACCAGTGTGGTTCACTCTCTGTTTCAGTAAGTGCGGGCTTATGGCTCACTGTTAGCCCCTGTGGGAGCTATGTCATGAGTAACGCACAGAAAAGATGCTCCGGGGAGCTGCAGGGGGACTGCCATCACACTGGTAAGCAAACACTTAACTGCAGTTTCCTGATGTAATGCTAAGGGGTCCTGGAAATGAGACGACATCCTGCTCTTTCACTGACTTCACGTTTTTCAAATGTGTAACTTACTTTTAGTTTTAGGGCCACTGAATGCGTGTAGCTGTACTTCACCAACAAGGAGAAGCTGTGTCCTGGCTAACGGCGGCCCTGGACCAAACCCTGTTCCACCTTCATCGAGGCCCATCGCACACCTGGAAAACAAGAAGTCTTTGTTCAGAGGAAGATGAGAAGGGAGGGGCACGGTCTAATCCCACCCATTACAGTGGACGCACAGTGCATCCAGTATAAACCGTCACTAGTGTTGCCAGTGGGTCAGTAACTCAGAGGAGCTACTGTGATTAGTAGTTGTCCTAATATTTTAAAACAGGTAAAATATAGCAACACTTCAGTTACAAAGACAGAGCATTCACACTCACACACACACATTCGAAGCTGTTCCTGTCTAATCTCCAAATGTTTACCTCCCTGTAGATTCTGAAGGTAAAACTGCCTTATTACAACCTTTGAAAAGTAGCAACAGAACTCTTGAGTATCTCCTTTGGCCTTCCCTGGAGAGATTTAATAGGGCAATGAAATCCACAGCTTTCCCTTGGCGCTGATGGTATAATGACTAACGTTTTGTATTTTATATGCTCTGCCTAAAAACCACTGTTCCTAAAAACCAGTTACCAGTGAGAAAGATGTGGAAAATGCATCTGGTTAATTCCTGTTGTTTCTCATATTACCACATTCTCTCTGTTAGATTAATCTCTCTATAGAGATTTTTTTTCATACTCATGTTGTTTAGCTGGAGATAGAGTTAATAAGCAGCTAGTTAAAATACCTATCAGATTACGGATTTCTTACTGTTAAGACTGTTTTGTTTTCCCTTTAAAAGTGAAATTTGACACATACTGCCCTCAGCTTCCTTCCTTGTGCAGTCGGTCCCATTTCCTCAAATCTTAGTCTACTCGTTGTAAGTAAACCCTAACTGTGAAAAGCATTCTAAAAAGAAGATGTTGCACTTTTTTTAATTGAGCCATTAAACCACAGGCTGAGTCGCTATTAAACCAACAGCTGCCGTGGGAAGGAGCAGTGTGTCTGCCTGGTACCTCCCCCTAATGGAAGGAGGGCGGCTGACCAACAACAGATTCATTCTTGAAATACATTCTCCACTTACCCTCTGATCTTGGCAGTGATCCCAAACTCACGGATCCAAACATGAGTATGAATGCGTACTTTCTTTGCATACCATTTTGGGAAATTGTGAGCTTTTCTTTAATGATTCTTAGAATTACTGAGCCTTCTTTCCCAGGAATGTGAGGTACAAATCATGCGAAGGGTAAAGACAGGACTTCTTTCTGGTTGGCCACCCTTCTCCAAGTGTGTTAACACCTTCAGATTTAGACGTTTGATCCTTTGGTTACTGTTTGTCGCAGACGTCAGCAAGGAGAGTGGATTAGACTTGAAAAGGCTCTTTGTTCAGAAACCAGAGATGAACACAGTCCTAAGGTCTGGCACTGGGCTACGGATGCCATTGGCAATGCTGGGTTAAGTCAGAGGAAGTTCTAGCTCTTAACTCAGTAATTCTATATTTTGCACAGCCGTGCAGGGCTATGAGTGCCCCATCTTAGGCTGCACCACTGGGCACAGTTCCGATGACCTGTCAGGACAAAATAAATGAAGACTAAGCTGAAAGTGGAGACAGCCTTGGAGACCGGCCAAGTCTCCATCAGGACATCTTCAGTATCGATACCCAATAGGCAGTGAAATCCGGTACCATCTAGCTGATCCCTCTCGTTTAAAAGAAAAAGTGGCAGGAACATTAACCCATTCTGGTTCAGAAAGCATGTTTTACTTTCCGTGCTTTCATGGTGGCCACCTCTACACAGGACCGGAAATCTTTGTTTCTTCCTGTACTATTCTGCCCAGAACCCTCTCTACTGAGAAAGTTGTTTTCTTCAGGGCTTTGACATTACTTCTCAAGCGTTCTCAGCTTTAGTGTTTGTTTCAACTCCAAATCTTATTATTACTTACTTTCTGTGAAGCTCTGCAACCTCCACTCTTCTCCCAAAGGATGTGTCACTATTACATGTCATCAGTGGCAGAAGCTCCTCCCTCTCGAAGCTGGGCTCCCTGCTGCCGCCAGCACTGTGCCCGCACTGCGGGTGAGCCGCACCTGATGCCCCGACAGAGGACTGGCTCGGCTCCTAGGCTTGAGGATGCTGCCTGTGAGACAGTAACGCAACCGACTCCCTGCCTGCAGAAGCCCGGGGGGTGCTTTGATATCTGTGTTTGTCATTTGACTGGTTCTGTTTTACTGCTTTATTCCACACTACTCTCAGCACTGTCCTAGAAAGAAAGGGAAGAGGTCAGATACTGAGCAAACAGGAGAAGGCGTAAATCTGAAGGGGGCGAGTCCTGAAACTGGATGTGACGGATGGTCAGGGGGCGACCCCAGAGGCGCTCATGACCGCGTGTGTGCGGCTGGTGCACCGGCCAGACCGGTTCGGCTGGATGGCCTGCCGAGGAAGGCTGCTGTCTGAAGTTCAGGACCTCCTCACTCCTTCAGCGCCTGGGATGCACGGGGATTGCCAGCAGCGCGGGGAGGCGGGTGGTGAGCGCGGATGAGGACACAGAAGACGAAGTGTAGAGTACAGAGATCCTGGAATTAAAAAGAGGGTGGCTTATTGTGAAGTTCTGGCTCGTGTGTCCTGTGAAGAAGATTCAGAAGAATGTCCCTAGAAAACAGATCTGGTTAAATGTGGGGCACGGTAGGGCCTCCCAGACAGCCTCAGCCAGTACTGAGCTTGACGGGGCTTACTGAAAGAAAGAGCGTGTGGTGCATGTGTGTTTATATGCAATATACTGTACACGTGAGGTCAAATTTTAAGAATCCTACCAGATGAAACACACACATCATGACATTCAATCGACGTGGAAAGCAAGAGATCTCGGTTCTGGGCATAAGTAAGCCTCCCCCCCACAGCAGTGTGTTCTCCCCTCGCCCCGTTACAGGTCACGATGCTCCTTCGCTCACGGCGCACGTGCCCTGGGTGTGGTCGCCTTCTAAAGCAAGCCCCAGGCCCACCCACTGTCATATGACCTACAAGAATCATAAGTATGTTAACATATTTTAGAGGCAAGAGCTGCTTCTAAAGGTCCTGACTGACAACATGGCGGGGGATTAAGATGGAACCTGGAGCAGCTCTGCGGCTGGATCTAGGCTCTAGTAGTTACGAGTCGTGTCCTACGTGCTCTCTGGGCCTGAGCTCCCTGTCTCAACAGGAGCAGCGATGGCTGTCGTAAAGGATGAATAGAAGGATTCAACTGGGTACTAAGTGTGGTAATTATGGCCCAACAAAGTGTGTATGTTATCACCACTGCTGCACCTACTGCTCCTACTATGAGTACAATTCTAAAGAGGGAGTCTCACCCTGCAGTTGCTGCCCCAGTAACTGAAAATACATTAGAGGACAATCTGGCTCAAAACCAAGGGCTCTGTGCCCTTAGAAGCAAGGATGACAATGCATATTTCAGGTTAGCTGTGACTGAGGGATGGGGGAGGAAGAAACCACACTTTCACAAACATCCAAGATACAAAGTTGGTTAATCCATGGTTCCAAAGAGCCCCAGCATTACCTCGTTGGGTTCATGAAATGCAGTCGCTTGCCAAGGCGGATTTCATTTTTGTTCAGTCTGATTTAGACTGAGAAGGGTGAGGGGAGTACAAGTGAGAGAGAGAGAGAGACTGAGAAAGAGACGGGGCACAGCCCCGCCACCTGTGCCGTGCAGGACAAGATTACAAGTGCTCCGTGCCACGTACAGCAGGATCTGTGCAGGAGTTAGGTGTAAACACACACACACACACACACACACACACACACACACACACACACACACACACTACTATCAGAACGAACGGAAGGGACGGAAAGGACGGAAGGAACGACTCCGAGCTAAGAACAGTGGCGTCTCATCGTAGAACACGAAGGAACT